GTGTAAAAATACACACACAAAATATGTACATAAACACATATATTATATATGTGTTTCCAATATGAGGTATCCAATTTCCTAGAGACAGAAAGTATAAGGGTGATTGTCAGGGGCTGGGAGAGGGAGGGAGAAACGGGGAGTAATGGTTTAATGGAGACAGTTTCACTTCTGAAAGATGAAAAGGATTCTGGAGATGCATAGTGGTGATGGCTGCACAACAATGAGAATGTACTTAAGGTCACTAAATTGTACACTTAAAATGTGTACAATTAAGTGTATAATGGTATACTGAAAATGTATAAAATGGTAAATTTGACATTATGTATTATACCATAATTTAAAAATTACACACACACACAGACTAAGAAGAAACTGGTAATGATGGCTGCCTCCAGGGAGAGAAATGGATATCTGGGGACAGGGTGGCAAGGAGATCTTTTATCATATAACCTTTAATACCTCGTTTTTCATTCTGTACTATATACCCAACTATCCAAAAATCATTTAAAAAAACACAGTCTTATACAAGAAGCCTTTTCCTTAGTCATTTATATTCCTTTTTGTTTTATTTTTTAAATATATCTTTATTGATATTAGAGAGAGGAAAGGAGAGGGAGAGAGAGAGATAGAAACATCAATGATGAGAGAGTTATTGATTGGCTGCCTCCTGGGGATCGAGCCCGCAACCCAGGCATGTGCCCTGACTGGGAATTGAACCCCGATCACCTGGATCCTAGGTTGACGCTCAACTGCTGAGCTACGCCCGGCTGGGCTATATCCCTTTTTAAATAAAAAATATTTTCAATCCAAATCAGGATTCCATTTCAGTTTTGTGGGTATTTATTAGATTTAAATGATGCAAGTTATAAAAAATTACACTTGTTCCCCCTAAGATTATATTCACCCAAAGCCTGTCTTTATATTTATCAGCCTTTACAGAAAAGCTTCAAAATCATCATAGAAGAAAATTACCATTTTTATCAGTATGTAACTTTTATTCTATCATAACAATCAAGCTGGCTGAATATAGAACTATTTAAACAGCAAAAAGCCCTCATCATAATTCAAGACAAAAATCAGTCTGCAATTACATGAGTTATAAAACAAACTATGCTTTATGTTGCAGTCTATCCTAAAGCTAAAACTTACATATTAGAATTAAACACACACACAAACACCGCCTCTGAATTCCTCCTATATTATCTAAAACCTACTTTTGTGAAGATCCACTATTTTCTTGAATCTTCCAGAATGAGCGCTGCAGCTATGCCACTGGCATCACAACTTCTGTAACCCTGCCCCCAGTCAAGAAGAAGGCAGCACTTGCAGGATCCAGTACCACCCCTGGCTCAAAGCAGGGGCTCAAATATTTGTTGGGTGAATGAATAAATGATTATCTGCTGACAGGCTTGCCACCAAGCCTCACAAAGAAAAAATTCAGAAAGAAAAAAGAGATGCCTTGTTTACTTGAAGTCAGCACATGATAAGGTGAAGACCATATCACTGGTTCACCAAATAGCTATGACACAACAGGCTAAGTGGGCTCTAGACCTCATCCTATTCTGAAGTTAATTACAAATACAGGTGTGTTTTTTTTATTGATTTCAGAGAGAGAAAGGGAGAGAGAGAGAGAAACATCAATGATGAGAGAGAATCATCGATCAGCAGCCTCCTGCATGCCCCTACTGGGGACCCAGCCCGAAACCCAGGCGTGTGCCCTGACTGGGAATCAAACTGTGATTGCCCGGTCCATGGGTTGATGCTCAACCACTGAGCCATGCCAGCCAGACTACAGTTATTTTTTTTTAAAAAATATGTTTTTACTGATTTCAGAGAGGGAGTGAGAGAAAAACATCAATGATGAGAGAGAATCATCGATTGGCTGTCTCCCGCACACCGCCCCCTCCCCCACCAGGGACCGAGCCCATAACCCTGGGCATGTGCCCTGACTGGGAATCGAACCAGTGACCTTTTGGTGCACAGGACGATGCTCAACCAACAGAGCCACATCGGTCAGGGCTCAAGTGTTTTATGAAGAAAGAAAATATAGAAGGACCCAATACAAATGGCCAGTGATCACTGAGGTTCAGCCCAAGGAACACAAATTTAAATAATGGCTAGCCAATTCTGGGAGGGTAGGGGAAGTGGTACTTTCTCAGATTGTCATGGAAACTGGAATAGCCACTTAAGAAGGCAATGTGGTAGTACCTACCAGCAACTTCAAGTCTAAGCAGTTGTTCTTCAAAAAGACTGACACATGAGGAAGTTCAACCCACTAGTATCTTTAATAGGGAACCATTGGGAAAACCAATAGGGGGACAATGCTTGATAGTAAGTTAGTACCAGACCATGGTGCTTATTTAACAAAGATGAGACAGAGAGAAACGTATCACAGAGATAGATACTAAATATGTATAATACAGACCTCGTTTTGTTAAAAACACAAAAGGAGCATATTTGTATAGCCTGAGAAGATTTTGAAGGATGTATGCTAAGCTATTAATGTGGTTACTCTGGGTAGTGGACACAGATAGTAACAGAAAACTTTCACTTTTTTACTTGATATACTTTAAAATGCTTGAATTTTCTGTAATAATATGTATTATTTTTATAGTTTCTTAAAAAAGAAAACTAGTAAGATACAAGCACTCATCTACTAAAGACAGGTTCTGTCCTTTGAGTACATGTATTCCCTTCAACGTTCCTTGTTGCTCAAATGGCCATATCTTTCCCATTCATAAGTAATGAGAGATATTTTTAAAACATCTCCTTCCTTTCTATATTTTTTAGGAGAAATTGTATAGAGTCACCACTGCCTGTTTTATAGAACCCATTTGTAATCTTAGAAAAAGACTTTATTGAAACCATAAACCACACCCTAGCTGGTTTTGCTCAGTGGTTAGAGCGTCCGCCCAAGGACTGAAGGGTCTCGGGCTCAAGTCTGGTCAAGGGCACATTCCTCAGTTGCAGGTTTGAGCCCTAGCCCGGTTGGGGCATGTGCAGGAGGCAACCAATCAATGTGTCTCTCACACTGATGTTTTTCTCTCTTTCTCTGTCTCCCCCCACTTCCACTCTCTCTAAAAAAAAAAAAAAAAAAAAATAAATGGAAAAAAAAT